CTTTTAGTATTTTTGGAATAGAACAATGATGGTTCTAGTGTAATGACAAAACGTGCGAACCCTGGGAGGATATTGGAAAATATCAATATATTGATGAGGCAGCTACAGAGGTCAACAGAACCACTCAGTTGTCAACACCGGAAACAACCTTGAGTGCCGACCAGACTGCCTCGGTCCACAGCGCAGCGTTGAAACATCTGAACAATGTGGCTGATGTATCCAACTGTGTCAAGATCACAGGTGGTGGTGTTGGAGGTGGTGATGGCAGTTTATGTGATCCCACTGTTGATGAAGTAGAGGAGGGGGGAGGAGGATGACGATGATGAGCCTGAGTGGATGACCAACCCTCAGCCTTTTGCCAACCTCTTTCAGCGGATGAAGGCGACAAAGAGAACTTTTGAGGATCCTAAGCCATCCATGGCTATCAAATCTGCCAGGAACACTAAGAGCGCAAAGGGTTCTGGCAGTAAGGGCGGCACTGGAGGTCCAAAAAGGAAACGAGAAGATGCTGCTGAGGATGATGACCCCGAACCTTTCCGTGCGCCCGCTCCTGTGCCTGCTGGGCAGGAGGACAGGCTACTGGTGGAGTCATATGAGAAGCAATTGAATGATTTGAGTGATTTGGATCCTCCATCTGCTGATGACAATGGCTTTGTCCCATGGGCTAAGTCACGCGTGAGTAAACTTGGCGAGCTCAAGTCAGGTGCTTGGGTGCTAGTTGATTTGGTATTGAATTTAAGTTCAAACTTCAAGACTAAAGTGTGTTGAATTTTAAATGTGTTGAACTTAAGTTAAGCATTTTTTTGCGCAGGTGTGATGGCCAAGAAGAAGTCATTGAACCGTCGGAAGAATGACGCCAACGATGTACTATCCTCCTTGGACCACATCATTGGCCAAGCAACTCTGATGCTTGAATTCCTGAAGTCCTTGATCCAAAGTGCTTCCAAGGGTCGCGACATCTATGAGAAGCTCTGCAATTTTGCTGAGTCAGATGGTGCGCAGCCGTCAGAACATATGTGGAAGCGATGCCTGCGCGCTATCGCGTTTGAGGAGTCCAACCATAGAATACACTGAATACACCTTATGTCACCAAGTTCAGGTAGTAAAAGGTACAGCATATGATCGTTTCATATACAAATAAATATGCAACATGTTTGAGAGATTCACAGTTTTCTAGCAAATTCATTGATCAATGGTAGGACCTGAAGCTGGCTCAATGGGATAAGTTCTTCACGGAGACGTATGAGCACTGCCTGCACCACTTGGGGGAGAGCAGTGGGAAGCAGTACTTCACTTTGTTGAGCAGTCAGCTCCTTCAAAGGCTTGTGAAGAATGTGAACAAGGTTTCCACGGACTCTCTTGATTTCGTATGTGGGTTTGCGAAAGAGATGTTCAAGGAGAAATCCAAGGTTGCATCGAATGAGTCAGACGAGCAGGCCCTGATGTACTTGCAGATCATCCTCGATGTTACGTCATCACCGACGTCGGTTGAAGAAGCAACAGGGGCTTTTGTAAAGTCCAGCTATCTTTGGGAGCACTGGGTTGTGCAGGCATTCAACCTTCAGAATGGCAAGCGAACCCTGGACTTTGCCAAAGAGAACGCAGAGAAGCGGGAGGCCCAAACAGAGACCATCTCCATTGTCCGGGAGGCTTTGACTGCTCTTGAGGTCATTGAGGCAAAGCACAGCGAACCCGGAACATTCACAGTGGAAGCTGGCAAGAGCATTATGAGAGCTATTAAAGCCTCAAATGGCCAAGGACGGGGGTGAATGCAATAGATCATATCAGCGATATCAGTAGTGAGTTTTTGTTTTTTGACATTGTCAATTTCAATTTCCATCAACATCATTGAATCCGATTCAACCCAGGAGTGCGCGGCCTGAAAGGAGCTGATCGTGACCAGCTTACCAAGCTACAGTGCTTGGTCAAGACAGTGGTGCTACATGCTGTGGAGGCGTTTGTGAGCAATGACATGACGAAGTGTCTTGTGTCTTTGGGTGAGGCAATTGACGCAAAGCAAGAACTTGATGCCAAAATGTTCACCTTAGTTGGGGACAACGCTTGCATCTTACAGCTCTTGGATGTTCCAGAAGCCTCCAACGTTGTGAAGGAAATAAAATCCTTTGCCAGCTTCATCCCATCCAAATTGGTCGAGAACATCAATGCTACATTCAAGGGTGATGCAAAGCCTGATGATTCTCAGTCCTGCTTGGTTGAGTGGAAAAAGCACATCAAATCAATCACCGGAGCAGTGAAGGGCACAAAGAACTTTCAGGTCTCTATCTTTCAGGAGATGCAGACTTGTCTTGCAAAAGCTTCGGAACGTGTGCACGCTGCGTTGCAAACCTGTGTGAATACACAGGCGGCTGATGCGGCTAAGCGGTGCACCAAAATGATCGAGGAGACCTTTTCCACCGATGGCTTTACTTTGGAAGTCAATGACGAAAGGTTGAAATTGTTTGGATCCCATTGCGAAGAAGCATGTCGCTTGAGCAGTGTTCTTGGCGGAACAGGGCAAATCTTGCGGAGGGGCTTGTCCATCATGGAAGCTGCTATGACATGCAAGTCAGCCTTTGCCACAGCCAATCCGGATGAGCAGGCAAGTGATGTGGTTTTGCATGGTATCAAGCTCTTGCGGCCTTTGATGCACACGAACGAGACAGACCTTGTCCGAAATGATCTCTCAGCATCTTTCGTTGCTATGGGCTACAAGGATGCGCTGGGGGAGAGACTAGCCGAGACCATCGTCGGCAGTTTGAAGGAACTTTGGAGCCAGGCTGTTGCCTTACTCAAAAGCATTGCTGACAGCGTTGAGAAGACCTACATTGAAGAGCGCAAGAAGATGCACTCAAAGCTCTCAATTCCTGACGAGGTGTTGAAGCTTGCCAATGTGTCAGAGATTGGATCATTGGCAGCGCAGCAACAACACAAACCTGCTTTCCCTCTTGAATTCACTGAAGCGGTGGGGGAATCTTGTCATTTGCTGGAGGAGGCTGAGAACACCATCAAACACATCGCCAAAAAGATTGGATGCTCTGCGCAAGAGGTGTATGACACCACAAAGGTTCAACGCCTTCGGCGTGAATGCCTAACATGGTTGAGCCTTGGTTGTTAATTTAGGACCAATCGTTTTTCCTTTTCCCAGGCGGATATCATCGGACTGTTCAAGCCCAAACATTGAGCAGTTTGTGTCAGCCAAATTTCAAGGTCGGCAGGCAACGTCTTCGGCTGTGTTTGCTCAAAAGCTGTCCTCCGTAGCATTGCCACAGGCAGTGCCTTGAGTGAGAAGAGTGCAAAGATTATCGCAGCCTCAATCAAAGTAGCGCAGGATCATTCCCTTGAGATTCCTCCTGGCCTACAAGCAATAGCTTCGAAATTGTCGGGGTCAGGAGGCAACTGATATGGTCCGTCGAGACACATCCGGATCAATAGTTAGACAGTTAGACGATCTGACGATCTTTGATTCTTAGAGTCTTAGATGTGATGTCATCTGAAGTTCGGGCAATGCCTTCAAGGATGTCCTTACTGCTCGGGGCGTGAATTCCTGTTTTCATCATCTAAATTTAAAATATACTATATATTACGCATTCTTACTTTTATGCTTATTGTTAATTAGTTAATAATCAGGATTCCATATGTTTCAAGTTTTGTTTGCTTTCTTTGCTGTTCCCAATGAATTCCTCGAGCTTTTCCCAAAGATGACGGATGATTACAACAAGCACCAATCATCGCAGGGCAAATTCGCGATGTCGAGTCTTGTCTTATCTCATTGGCAATGGACCGTGGGAAACTCCACACAAGCTTGGGGAACAAAATCCTGCCCCCGCATTCGGTCTGTCGCACTCACAGCTCCAAGTCACAGGATCAACTTGGATCATGAATCGACATTGTGCCTATGGCTGATAGATATTTGAGGCCCAAGCTGAGTTGATCATTTGCAACTTGAATCGAACCGATCCGGCAGCATGGGAAAACGTGGGGCTGTGCAATCCCCGAAACCCAAGGCCAAGCCTAAGGCTAAGGCTAAGCCTACGGCGAATGCTAAGGGGAAAGCGAAAGCAGTTCCAAAAGCAACGGCGCCTCCACCACCACTACCAAATGATGGTCAGAGTCAAAGTCAAAACGTTGACGTTGTTGACTCTTCAGACTCTTCTTCAGTTGATGCCGCTGCTGTACGTCAGCGCACACCTAGGACTCGCAAGGTCCGCAAGACTGTGACCCAATCAGGAGGCAATTCTCCACAGTCCATGAAGTGTCAGCCACTTTCGGAATCGGGCAAACGGTTTTGGGAGGACCAATTCAAGGTTAAGACTGAGCCTCCACCGGAACCCCTGCCCGCAACAGTTGCTTCCGACAACGAGAATGGCCCCTCAGCATCAGGCTCGCTTCATGCTTGCTTTCAAGCGTGAACAGTGTACAATGTCGGTATGATCAGCTGTTATCATTTGTTGTGTGTCATCGTTCCACTTCCATGATAAATGATATGATCAAAGAGTGATATGATAAAAGTAAGTAGAGTTTGAACATTGTGCAGGCCCAGCCGATGTGGACATGGACATGGTAGTCAGAACGGAAGAGGGGGCAAGCCCAAGAACAGTGTGTGCAGTGGAACGAGAACTGGAAGCTATATTGGACAGTGGCGAAGGCCATCACGGTGGCAATTCTCCTCTTTTGTGATTTCACTTCACTACAAGTTGTAAGTAGTTGTAACTTACAACGAACAAGTATCAAGCATCACAAAATTGCCTGTGCTGTTATGTTCCGTTTGCAAGCTGTGTTCGCCATGTCTGTTCGTGCCAGTTTCACAGTCAGCAGGTGGCGTGGGTGCTGCTGCAGCCAGCAAGCCTGAAGAGGAGAACGCGGATGATGTTGGTTTGACTACAGTTGGGCAGCCTGAAAAAATGGTCGATGATGTTGAGCCAACGGTTCCAGACACTGTCTCTACTACAGTGACAGAACATCATGGTTCACTGGCCACTGCGGTGCCTGGCCCGGAAACAATGTCGGTGTCTGAGCCTGAGGACAAGGATTTGGCCAAGGATGCAGACGGTGGTCCGCAGGAGACAGAGTTACAGCGTTCCACTGTTGAAGTTGAGACAAAGGAGACTGAGGCTGAAGAAGAGAAGAGACGGAAGATTGAGACTGCGACTGAGACATTGGAAACACAACTTGAAGTTGAAGTTGAAGTCAAGAAGCTTTCAGCCGATGCAGACGCAGGGCATCCGCAAATGCAGAACCCAAAGAACATGTCAGAGTCAGCGCCAAAGAACGCTGAGGCTGAGGTGAAGCCTGCAGCTGACGATGGTCAAGGGACCGGGGGTGGCGCCAATGATGGTGAACATCATCCCAATCCCAAAGACGCTGAGATCATGAGGGAGCCACATGATGGACAGAGCCACATGGACACGGAAGAGTCTCAGAACCAGATGGACACATCGGCAGCCACCCAAGGGATCAAGACAGAGCAAGATGATGAGGCAATGGATGCAAACGATGAAGCTGGCCAAGATCGCGTCAGGGCTGAGATGGACGATGATATTGACGAACCGAATTTGTTGGAGTACTTCGGAGATGTCTTTTGCTCAGCCTTGACGTGTTGCTTTCAATTTCACAGCAAGTCCAACAATCACACCGGCCACCGACTTAGGACCTGCTTTCCAGACTGACTGTCGAATGTGGGAAGCCACTGCTGGAGTTGACATTTGGCACACTTCCTCGCAAGCTGTTTCTCATGTCAGCGTGTTCAGGAACAGGAAGTTTTGAATTGGTAGCACATTTCCTGACTCAGACCATAAGTCGATCATTTGTGCATTGCTTCGAAGAATGCTTGGAGGCAGGACTGGTGTCTGTTTATCAGAGTTTATCAATAGTTCAACTTCAACAGTTCAACTGCTTGCTTCAGTATCTCAGTAAGGGGCCTAGAGGGTAGGGTCCATTTTCTCCTTCTGTACTCTGTACCAGGTGCTGCCAGTCTTCCTATGTGAGATTTCGCCTGCCAAGCAGAAGTTCTTGTACAAGTGTGTGTTGCCCAGTATGCTTGGAAATGAGGACGTTTGTTTGCGGGGGGGGGGGGGGGGGGGGTTTTTTTTGTTTTTTTTTGGGGGGGGGGGGGGGAAAAGGGGGGATGGATTGGGAGGGGGGAGCGGATGTGGCTTTCATTGTGTTTCATTGGCTGGGTACGACTGAACATGGCATATGAATCATGAATCATGAACCTATTTTGATAAATGTTGAACAGGAGTGTCCCTGTCTTTTTGAAGACATTACAAAGCTGTCTGACGCAAAGCAGCGGTGCCTGTGTGCCTTTGCGGCAGTTGTGATTATTTTTGCTGCTGCTGTTCAGCTGTTGATGGTTGGTTGCCTAGTGACTCGTGACTAGTGATTAGGCTCTTGAGACGAGTAACGGCCAAATTTCAGTTTTCACTGCCGGCTTCAGCTGCAAGTCACTCGGCTGCAAATGCCTAGCAGTCGAAGTGATGCGCGTCAGCGCAAGCAGTGTACTGTAATTTGTAAATGTTTCTTGCTCGCAATCGCCGTGACTAGGTCGGTATCAAGAATGAACACAGAGTTCCTGACAAATCTGAATTGTATCTCTGAGGACAAGGACAAGTGATGTGAAGTTTGGAAGTTTGGACATTTGACTTCTTGATTTTGACTCTTGAAATCCTGATTCTAATTAAATGACAAAGAGGCTTGAAGGTTTTAATACACGTCGAGCCAAGTCTAAATGGTGATGATGAGGATTGCTCTACAGCAGCGACATTCCGTGGCGTCCTCTTCATCATCAAAACTACACAGCCTGCTATTGTAATTTTGGAGAATGTTGACAGCATTGACGCAGCGCCAGGGCAGAACTCCGAGGAGGAACAGAAACCGCTCGAGACTCAATATTCCCTCCAATCACATCACATCTGCTGTGTGTACTGTGTATTGTGCAGTGCTATATGACTCTGTCTGTGACCTATGACACATGACTACACTACAGCAACGACTATGGCTGTAGACTCTATATATAGACTCGTAGGCTTTGGAGAAATAGAATCTATTTATTTAAAATTTATGTCAAATAGAAATTAACATAACTAAGGCCCTCCTACCCTACTAAAGACTAGACTGTGACTGTGACCGTAACTGCAACTATGACGTCATACTCCTTGGACTTATACTATCTGTACTGTAAGGACCAACCTGGAGGTTGTGTTGGAAAAGATTCGGGAACTTGGTTACGCAGTGTGCGCCTGCAAATTGAAAGCATCTGACTTCCAGCTACCACAACGCCGCACCCGGTACTACATCATTGGCATTCAGCATCCTGGCGGTGGTTTGCCTTGCTTTGCTGAGCCTGTTGCGCAAATGGTTGCCAAGATCGAGAATAGGATTGACTGCATGCGGGGCACGCTCACGACCAAAACGGCCAGGGGCCTACGACCCGCATGTCAAGCTAGCCTGTTCGCCCAACTTAACTAAAACTACTAAGACTCAGACTCAAAACTGAGACTTGTCAGTTCCAGTTCCCAACAGCGTGAACATTTCTGTCACTGACCACTTCTGCGGATGAAGCATCGTGAATTTGTCAGGATGATTTCATTTTGGACGATGATGTGCAGCAGTTGACGGATGAGCTTTGTCGACGACAAGAGCGCAGAGCCAAGCAGGACGCTGAAGAGAAGGAGAAACAAAAAGCAGAGTCTGGCAAATGGCCTGAAGTCCATTCAGCTCTGGCAGAGAAATGCCCCTTGCCACAAGGTTTCAAAGAATTGCAAATTTCCAAGCGGCAAAACTGCTGTAAGCTGTAAACACTGCACTGTACACTACACTGAAAACTGAAAACTGATGTCTTTTTGTTTTTATTTTTAATCTTTGAATACTGAGATGGTGTAAAGTGGCCACTTACGCCAAGTGAAGAGCTCTCAAAGTCACCCTGGTTTGGCATACTTCCAGCGCGTGAGAAAGAAGTATCGTGGCGCAATCTTGGCACACTTGGGTCCATCAATTCCATCAATTACATGGTCTCAAGTCTCATAGTTTACTGAGTTCACTGATTTCTGCTATCTTGAAATCTTACAGTCTAGAGTCTAGAGTCAGAGTGTAGACTCGACTGAATGCTCCCATTTCAGTCCAGTCTGAATGATTCATTGTGTATTTGCTGAAAGGTATTGTGCTTCATCGAGCTCATGAACAGCAGAATCGATCTCCCCGAAAAGAAGATCCTGTTTGTGGACGTTTCGCAATCGGCTTCTCGCTTACCCACGTCCACCGTGGGATCAAAGGCGCGTGAGTGTTTGCACAAATGAATGTGGGAGAAAGCACCAGCCTACATAGCAGTTGTCAGTGTTGAGTCTGTTTGGTCGGTCACCATGGTATTGCTGCGCAGGTTGTGCCGACAATCCTGCCAGGATCCAAGCTTTGGCATGTCCAAAGGCGACGGCTGCTGATAGGACAGTGTGTTGAAAGTTGGAAGTTGGAAGAGACTTGTTTGCTGGCAACTTGCAATTTGCAAAACAATGTATAGTTAGTTAGTTGAGTTAGTTGACAAGTTGATTCAGGAATGGAGCTAATGGCTCTGCAGGGATTTTCCGTTGACCAGCTGAAGGTCAATGTGCACTCACATGTCTCGCAGAAGCAACTTGCCGACCTGGCCGGCAACATGTTGCGGCCCTAGTTGTTGTGATTTGATTTGCGGTGATCTGCAATTGATTGAAAGAAAAGAATGGTAATTGTCATTCAGCGACGATGAATGAAGGAGGAACAAACATACCTTCTTTGCGTGCGTGCGTGATGAGGTTTGCAACACCGTGCGTTATGGCTTCCTGCTGGCAGTGTTGTCCGTTTTCAGGTTTGAGACGGACTCTGAAGTTGAGGAGTTGCAATCTGTCTCGAATTTGATGCAGACTTGGCAACCAGCGCCAACTGATGATTGAGGAAACCAGCTGACCAAATTTTGGTTTCCCATTTCCAGACTTTTCTGGTTCCGGCATTTGGAATCCAGGGGATGCAATTGTGCAAGACATTTGCTCAAGAGATCCAGCCGGGCCAAACCAGTTGCAGTCCACAGCTGCCGAACAGCGCAGTTGTTCACTGAACAGAACGCAGCGGAACGAGACGAATGAGAAACGAACTGCTTCAAACACCTGTGGACACGTCGCATTGTAGAGATCCTTCCGACGGTATATAACTTATCGCAGCACCATACCAACCGTGCCGTGTCACATCATAGCGCACCATACCGCACCGCATACCGTACCACGTACCGTACCGTACCATCGTACCGTACCGTACCGTACCAGCGTACCGTACCGTACCAGCGTACCGTACCGTACCGTCAGCGTACCGTACCAGCGTACCGTACCAGCGTACCGTACCAGCGTACCGCGCCGTACCGTACCACAGTACCCATGTACCGTACCAGGATCCGCCCTTGTTTCCCGTATGATTGGGACCTATCCGCGGCTTCTCCTCAGAGCACTACTCTTGAAGCTAGCTAAGTTGAAACACGCATTTTGTACGCGACTTCGACTTCCTTCCAAAATTCATGTTGAAGAGTTAACTGGAACAGAGCTAACCAGAGCTAGAGCTGTTGAACCACGCATTTTGTACGCGACTTCCTTCCAAAATGCATGTTGAAGAGCTGACTGAAACTACAGCTAACTAAAGCTAGAACTGACTGGAGTTAGAGCAAACTAAAGGTAGAGCTGACTGGATTTAGAGCTGACTAAAGCTAGAGCTAACTGGAGTTAGAGATAACTAAAGCTAGAGCTGACTGGAGCTAAAGCTGATGAGGAGAAGTAGGAGAAGTAGTAGTAGTAGTAGTAGTAGTAGTAGTAGCTGTTGAAAGTCCGTAACACGGAAGTTTTGCACCCTAAACTTCCTTTGATAACACATCAGTGGTATCCAATTTCATCATGTGTCCTCCTTAATTAACCAAGATTGCGCGACCAGTGTGTTACCGGATAATCAGTGGCCTCACTTTTGTTTAGGGGTTTGCTAGAAGGGGTTCCACGAAAAAGAGTGACATGAAATATGCCAAAAATTATTGCAAAGGCAGTTCCTTTGGATGTTAAGGGACGGTAGAGACTTACAGTTCGGAACCCCAATCAGATACAGCAAAAGGTCTTGTGCGGCCCACTTGTGTAAACACTGTTGATTCATCCGTGGTGTCTTATTTACTTATTCCAGGTACACCTGTGTGTTCGCGAAATATTTTTGGGATATGTTTTTTGTTTTTTAGGGTATGCCGACCCTCGTGAAAATCGTGTTCGTCTCTGGTGGTATACGTCGTCACCCTGCTACTTTAGACAGGGGCGAGTCATGGCGATTCAACAACAGGCAAAACACAAGACAACGCACTGAACTTCACGCAGAAAAGTAGCCACCAAACCAAAACCAGGCAGGCAAGTGGCAACCACACCAACAACCACCACACCAAAAACAAGGCAGGCAAGTAGCCACCGCAACAACCGGGCAGGAAAGTAGCCACCACACCAAAGACCAAGCAGAAACGTAGCCACCATACCATACCACAACCCACACAGAAAAGCAGCCACCACACCAATAGCCATCACACCAAAAGCCAGGTGGGAAAGTAGCCACCACACCAAGAACTTGGCAGGAAAGTGCCCACCACATCCAAAAACCAAGCAGGAAGGTAGTCAGGTGAAGTGGCTAGGTTCCTGCTTGGGTTTTAGTGAGGTTGCTATTGCCCTGCTTGGTTTTGGTGGTTTTGTGCGGGACATGGACACAAGGGACCCAAATATTATTTCAAGGCTTACGCCTAACAGCCGGGCGCCGGCCCACTTGGGTCTGTGTAGCGCACGTTAAGCTATCGGGGGCATACTGGGCCCTGGGTGGTGCCGGAAACTGGTCCGCGTCGGAGACGGGGCCCTATATTGAGCAAAGTTAAGCTATCTGGTGCGCATCTTGGCCCTAGGTTGGGCCAAGTGGGGCCCACGCGGTCTATGTTGGGCACATCTGGACCCCATGTTGAGCCTATGTTGGGCCTACGTTGGCCTATGTTAGGCCTATGTTGGCCTATGTTGGCCTAGGTTGGGCCTATGTTGGGCCTATGTTGGCCCCATGTTGGCCTATGTTGGCCCTACGTTGAGCCATCTTGGAGGCTATGTTGGGCATATGTTGGGGATATGTTGGCTATCTTGGGCCTATGTTGAGGATATGTTAGGCAATGTAAGTCGTCTGGAGGGCCTCTGCCCACAAAATGTCGATTAAGCCTGTCCGCCCGGCGCGCATTACCGACACCACCCTTGAAAAACACAGCATTTTTGCATTTCTCCCTTTTCCCCGCGTCGTACTTCGATATGCGCAATAAACCCTGTAAAACACAGTGTTTTTTATACCTCACACACACGATACACTGTAAATTACAGGGGCTTCAGTGACCCGGTGGTCCCCCCGTTTTGGTGACGAGGGTCGGCGGTTGGGGGGGCGAGCGTCTATAACCTTCGGTTACCACCGAAGGCCCTCCGGGCATGCCACGGGCGTCCTGGCCGGCGCCCGGATTTAAGAGGCTTACGCCTGACAGCCGGGCGCCGGCCAAGCAGGGTGAGGGTTTGTGTGAAACGCGCGGACGATGAGGGTGTGCAGGGCTGAGTACTCTCTCTCTTTCTCTGTCGCTTTGTCTTGGTATTTGTCATCCTCTCTCTCCCTTTTCGCTGTCTCCGTCTTGGTATCTCTCTCTGTCTCTCGCTTCCTCTTTCTGTGTCTCTTGCTGTCATTCTCTTTCTCCTTCCCTTTCTCTTCTCTCTCTCTCTGTGTTTCTCCTTGTCCCCTCAGTGTTTGCCTCGGTCTTCGTCCCTGTCTCCGTCGCGGTATTTGTCGGTAGTTGTCTCTGTCTCTACCTCTGTGTCGGCTAAAAGGTTGTGGGGGAGCATCGCTCTCCCACCCTCGCGCAGGACGGGGGCCGGGACTTCGGGCGTCCCGGCAGCATCCTTCGCAAGAAGGGGGCTGACCGCCCGGGTGCACAGTCAGTGCACCGAAGGTCGGGTGAGCCGTCGAACACTGCCACAGCCAGGCACAAGGTTAAGAGGCCCAGCGGGACTCAAACATCCTCGATCGCGTCGACGTCTCCGTCAAAGGTCACGTATGACATAGGTTAGTTTTCGTCCAAAAAATACCCTACCAAACTCGTCCATGACATAGTTTTGCTACAAAACACAACCCACCAAACATCTGTGTTCGCCCGGCTCGCGTAAGATAACAACCCACCGTATATCTGTGTTAGCCCGACTCACGTAAGATAAACAGGACTGAAGTGAGTGCTAGATTGAAACATATCACCTATTACATGAGTTTATTGCCTCGAAAAACAATCCACCGCACTCGAAACGATTATCGTTGACGTAGTTCTACTACAAAACCTTTCTGTTTGCCCGGCTTGCTTCAGACAGACTGGACTGAAGTGACTGCCAGAGAGACGAGAGACAGTTGACTGTGAGCGACTCACCGTGGCTCGCTTACGAGAGACTGAACTGCACAGACTGCATGGCTCGCTTAAGAGAGACTGAACTGCACAGACTGGATGGCTCGCTTAACAGAGACTCACCGTGGCTCGCTTACGAGAGACTGAACTGCACAGACTGCATGGCTCGCTTAAGAGAGACTGAACTGCACAGACTGGATGGCTCGCTTGACAGAGACAGGAGAGAACTGCCAGCTCTAGTTTTCTGTCAACAGTCTGTGACACCGTCTCCAGCGTGCAAACCATGTGCCAGGTGCTCTACGACGATCCCGTCGTTTTCTCGCAGCACGGTGGAGAGGCCAGCGAGTTTGGCGTGTTTGACGAGAGGGCATGGGTTGTGTCCAGACGAGGTGGCAACGACGTGTTTAGAAGACTAACACAAGGAAGGAGAACGATTGACTGAAACTGAAACCAGACTGTGAAGTACGAAGTAAACCAAACAAAAAAACGCAGGGAACCAAGGTGAGAAGCCACTCGTGAGTGATGAACATAAACACCGTCGAACCTGCAAGTGCAGGTGTGCGCGGTCGCAGCGTCGTTCGTTGTCGCTGCACTGTTGCGGTCCAAAGCCAGAAGCTAGGTGCAACAACACCAACATAGGTCGGTGTCGCTACGGCGACGTACACGAAGTCCACTACAACAGTCATTCACATAGAGGACACGAATAGGTTTTTCCATCCCCGTAAGTCAACGACAGGTAACCGAACTAGCAATCGCGGTAGCTGAATTCTAGGCGTCCTGGCAGCCACAGTGTCAGAGTGACTAGGTAAAGAAACTACAGACTAACGCAAGCAGTCAGAACTTCACTTCACTGTAGCTCACGGACCCAAAGAGGACAACCATGAGACAGTGGTATCTGGCTGCAAATCGACTCGTTTGTCAACGAGCAGCGAGTTTTGCCACATGGTGCTGGATGTTTTGCGGGGTCGCTTTCGGCGACTGGCAGACACGGCTTCGTCGCCGACAAAGCTGCGATGTCCGACCCACCACATCCAGCCTAGCAGTGCACGCAGGCAACATGCACACACCCTCGACCTACAAAATCACTGCACTCACCCGAAGCACGGCGTTCCTGCCTGCGTTCGTTAGTGCAGCTATGACGAAGTGGTGTGTGGTTGCAAGTAAACTTGTCAGTGAACAAGACAGAAGTTTTGCCGTGCGCTGCTCGACAGTTTGGAGGATCACTCTGGTCGAAGGATGCAGATGCAACCTGCGCCGACGTGGCCGCCATGTCCGGCACGCCAAATCCGGCAAAGCAAGTCCAGCAGACAACAAGCACACACACTGGACCCGTAGAATTCCAGATCGATACACGATGCTCGCCTGGGGCCTAGCCTTAGTGTCTGCGTTCGTAAGTGCTACCACTAATCGAATAAACCCAGTGTTTGTCGTCCACCTCTTCAGTTGTGTCTTTGCATGCCAAGCACTGCGAGCTCTCGCAAAGGGTCGGTGTCCGACGGGTTGGATCAAGAAAGCCCGCGTCGCAGGCAGAAGTCGCGTCAAAGCACGACGGCGACAAACACAGCCGCTGTATAGGACGCAAGTGTTGTTGGCAGTGTTGGTGGTCGTGAGTCCCGGCACCTTACACTGTGTTCATACTGTAAGCTACAAAGACACTTTTCAAGCCAACCACATGTGGTGGGTTGCTCGCAAACTACGTAATCAATTGATGCGGGCACTGCATGGGAATACGATGCACCGAACAAAAAGGACGAGGACAGAAAAGAAAGACGTGGACAATGCAACTTGCTCACATGCTGACCCTGCCACGCTAGCTGAGACTTCGAACCCAACACCTTTGAAGCAGAAAAGTGAAGTTGAAGCTAATGTTACACAGTATGCTTTGTGGACGTCGGAATACAGCCCGGCGCACAACCAGTCCGCAGAAGAAGTTGTTGACTTGGATCAGCTGGCGCAAGCTCGGATCGGATGTGACATCACCAAAGTGCCCGGCGACGGATGGTGCTTCTTTCATGCCGTCAGTCGGCACTGCAGCAATTGGAACACGTGGTCGATAACGCACGCCGCAGAATTATACCTGCAGGCGTTGGAGTGGTTGTGCAATCAGAAATATGGTCCAAAGGCAGAAGACGTTCAGCTTGCCTGCGTGCCCTTCGATGATCGAGAACTAGAGTTGCATAAGCAGTATCTTCTGCGCGCGCACAAATCCAACCCGAGCTTAGCAGAGCTCACGGACTCAGAGATTGTGCTTTTGAGCAAGCTAGTTGCGGTGCTACAGAAACCGCGTGCCTTGGACTCCATCCACCATGGGTCTTTCGTCGAACTATGGGCGCTCGCAGAGACATTCGATTTTCACTGCCTGATTTGGAGTCAGGACGTGGACCACAACCTGTGGGTGCGAGACCAAGCAATTGTCAGTGACCAAGAAGCCCATGCAAGACTACAAGAACATCCACAAGTGTTAGAACTTCTGCACCGCCAAATCGGCGTCACCGGCCATTACGACATAGTGGACAGATCTGCGTCGCTGCGGCCGCCGTTTCCGGACACCACCTGGACACTGGAGTGGAAACGCGCCGGAGCTGACGCCGTCTTGCAGCGGGCAGCGGACACTCTAGAGACGCCTCTGCCACCCATGCCGCCGCCGTGCGAGCCGCCGCAAAGTTTGCCGCAAGAGCATCGCTCACGCAGAGGAAGCACGGCGGAGCTCGACGGCGAGATCGACAAGCCCACCACAGACGGTGTGTGCCAGGGCTCTTCCAGACCAGCACGACGTCGCCGGACAGGCGTGCGCATCGCGCAGCATTTCCAGCCAAGTTGCGCGGAACATAGCTCCTGCAAGCACGAGACGTCTGCGCGCTGTGACGGAGCCATCGAACAAGAAGACCATGTGGCCTCGCATCCACCGACAGCAACCGCAGCCACCGATGCACAGCAACACACAGATCCAAGATCCACCGTGCAGAGGGGGGCAGACGACGTCTGGCCACAGTCCAACGCAGTGGAAGAATCCGAAGGAACGGCCACGGACGTGGACTTGGACAGTGTGCTGTCGTGGGATTCCGAATCTAGTGGAAGGTCCAATGACGCAGACCTACCAGCGGTCGTCGAACCACATAAAAGCCGGGTGACGATAGAGGACCGCGCAATAGACAGCGCCAAGCACTTGGCGACGCACTTCCGGTTACGCCCTTTATTGCCATGCGTGTTGAGTGACAAAGACTTGCAAAAATTAGGTTCAAACTCTGGATTAGTGTATCCCGCAGTGCATTGTGCGTTCGACGGTTGTCAGTGGGCTTCTGATGTGCAACCATGTCATCCCCACTGGTCAAAAGAAAAAGTCTGGCGCATAGAAGGCACGACTTGGTCACACTCAGCCAGAGCCTGCTGCGGCAATGCTGCCACGTGCTTGTGGGCGCACCTGAAAGAAAACCATCACGCAGTCTTCGAGGAGGCAGCGCATCGCGCAGCCGGAGGCTCGGCCGAGCTCGCAATTCCCAGCCAATACGTGAATGCCTTGTTGCAGAAAGAAGATCAACAAGTGCCACAGGTCGGTTGGAGTGTGGATCGTCGAACCCTGCGACGACTGCAGAAAGAATTGCAGGAGACGTCGTGCGAAGCCTTGATATGTGCATGCTGTGCTCGCATCCATGCCGGGGGTGCTGCTGGGGACATTGCCTATTTGTCCGCAGCGGAGTTGTTTGGTTCCCTTTCTCTAGAAAGCTTCACCTGCAACTGGAATTTGGATACATACATGAAGCAGTACGCCACCAGTGCTTGCGTCCGTGACCGCTTTGACGCACATGAATGGTCGCGCCTTTTGCCTGCCTCTCTATACAATGGCCAAAAGATTGTGTGTTGCCCAGAAGACTTGCGCTGCACAGCTTGTGATGTAGGCAATGGGCAGCTTTGCGAAACATGTGAGCTTCCTATCTGCCACCAATGCCTGGTGCAGATGTTCGACAAACATGTTCTTGCAGTTCCACAAGCTCTAGCCAATGACAACTGGTACGGCTACCCCACAGAGTTGTTATACAAACACAAAGTGCGGTGGATAGAAGCAGCCGCCGCTAGCCCAGTGTGGACGTCCGTCGTCACGTATTATGTAGAAGCAGACAGAGGGCACCTGGTGGAAGAAACCCTCCACCGCGCGGAGCATCGTTCTGCCGTTCGAGGTAATGTTTCCTCATTTAGCTTACCTTGGGAAGAAGTCTTGCAAGCGTTCGCTCCACAAGCAAACACTAGCATGCCGTGGACAAACTTGCCGCAGAAGCCCAAAGTTCTGCAAGCCCTGGTTAAGATTACTGTGAAAGGCATGCGTCACAATGAGGCGATAGAGTGGGTGGCCGGCGCACGGATCCGACCATGGGTGGTCGTTGCATTGTTGCAACATTTGATCGACTTGCAGCATCCAATGTGTGACAATCACATCTCCCCGGAGAAAGCAAAAGAAGAAGTGAAACAACGGGTCACAAATATATATGGCACGGAAGAGACAATGCCGCTCGGGGAAGGCATTCTCGAAGACGTGCCTGTGGCCGCGCCACTCTCGTCGGCGCAATCCACCCACAAAGCGCGACCCACCAAGTCTTCGCGCTCGCGTCCGGCAGCGCCAAAGCAAAGCCCACCAGCAAGTGCACGGCACAGTGGCCAAGCTTCAAAGCCCGTTGCAGAGGTATGTCCCGACGCAAAGCTGTCAAAGGTAACCGTAGACACTGCAAGTGGCGACCATAGCATCGTCACGACCGACGACCATAGCCTGATCATGGGCACGCGGCTACTGCCTAGCGAGCTTTCTCGTGATCCTAGTCAGAGCCAGCATGCACTTGCACGCACCACAGTCTCCACCACACCAACCGAGCTCTCAGTTGTGGCCTCCAACAACGCCCAGAGCATCGCTCGGGGCGCATCGATTGTTGTCGCAGCCGACGACAACCCCTGCATTGCCGTCGCCGAGGTCGCGGGGTCAGAGAAAACGAGCAGTCAAACTCGGACGATGGCCGACCAAAAATGCGTCCAACCGGTCGTGTCCGTTGCAGCGGTAGGCACTGCAAAAACCTTGTCCGCAAGCATGCGCTCGCAAACCAGCCGAACAGCGCCGCCGCAGAAGCATGCGACGCCGGAAACGGCGGCGTCCGCAGCACTGGATGGCCAAGCTTTCACTGGAGTACATCGACCAAACGTCCTATCCCAAGACTACGCAGCTTCTGACTGGAGGGAGCCAGATCTAGAAAGGTTACAAGAACTTGCACACGCTGCCGATCAAGTCACGGTCGAAACCGGGCATACTTTTTGGGACCAATGGCAAAACGATTTTTTACCATGGGCATTCCCATTCAGCCTTCCAGCACCTGTCAGTGGCCCTGATTTTCCCCACAAAACAAGACCTCGACGCCCAGTGCATGCGCCAAACTTAAATCCTCTGGCGCACTTGAAGTTGTTGGCCGGCCGTGTTGAGAGCTCTATTCGTAACTCCTGGGACTTTGTACCTGGTTTGCGACGGCTGACGTTCAAATGGCAGTCAGTCTGCAATGGTATTCTCTGGCGAAAAAGACCAAGCCAGAGAGACTGCGTTCAAGCAACCCCTACCGCTTCGTGGGTGGAAGCAGCAAAAGGGCTCTATAGCAAGTTGCGCAGTGGCACGTACTTAACCGCTAGTGGTCAATACAAACCCATACACTTTGATACTAGAAAGTTGCCCTACGCCAAAGGCTTGACGTCAGAAGAGCACCACCTCTTGCAAGACGTTCGCAGCATGCAAAGAAATATGCCCGGAACCATAGAAACTCGCCGTCGCATCGGTCGATTTCTCTTTGGAGCCAGAGTGGAGCTGGGAGAACCTCTTTTCATCACAATTTCACCCACCTCACGCCACAATGCGCTGTGCGTCAAATTTTCTCGATACCGACAAGCCGACCCAGGCAGCACGGTCTTCGGAAAGCGGACCTGCCCAGAAATATGGGAATCCGCCAATGCAACCATGTTCGTCCCCCCTATGATACCAGACGGCAACTGACAGCCAGAGACCCGTGGGCCGTAGTTCTCAGCTTCCAAACCGTTGTTCGTTGCATTTTCGCAAAGCTGCTCGGCATTCGCATGTGCTTTCGTTGTCCCGCCTGTGACTGCCGGGATGCCAGCGGGAACGGCTGCCATGTCACCGGGGGGTTGTTCGGCCTCGTGCGCGGCCTCTGTGGCGCCATCGAATATCAAACAAATTCGACGCCGCACTTTCACTGCAACGTCTACAGTGCATCCATTTGGCAGCAACCGCTCCACGAACTCGCGGAGAAATTGAACAACCGAACTATCGAGTTCGACGACGTGAAACACTTTCTCGCATGGATACATCCAGAAACTCATCCTGACTACAATTTCCACAAAGCACAGCAAGCAGAACTAGAAGCCGCCTGGAACGAGAACAACAGCCACGAAAAGCACGATTTTCTTTGCCATTGGCCAAACTTCATCCAAACAGATGACGCAAAGAGCCCGTGGTTGGATGACGTGGTGGCTACCCGAGCAGTGCAAGAAGCCCAGACATTCATCGAGACCTACCGCCGTGTCGCACAAAGCAAAATGAGCCATCAGCAGATACACTGGCATCCTTATAGCATTGTGCAAAAGTGTCGGTTACCGCTCAGTGCTTGCCG